CTGTGTCTCTCTCTGTCAAATAAATAAAAAAAAACTTTAAAAAAAAAAAAAAAGGAGCAAGGATAAAAGCTCAGAGTCCAGACAGGAGACGCTGCAGTAACCCAGGGGAGAGAAGCTGGTGGCTGAGCCCAGGTGGCAACAGTAATGGTGTGAAGAAGGGGCCAGACCGCAGATATACTCTGCATATAGAACGTTCAAGGTTTGCCAACACACAGGTTATGGGCTGACACAGGAAAACTATGCCATGTTTTGTGTATACATAATTATTTTTTTGAAGTCATATATTACTTAAATAATGGCAGTTCTCTGCCTCAGCCTTTCCAATCCCTAATTCTAGCACCCCAGAGGCAACCACTTTAAATCTCGTGTTTCTTCTGGTATTTACTGCCATCTTTCTAAATATTGAGACAGTGCCTCATTTTTCTTCTGTCTCACAATAGTCTGTACTGACTTCCTACTGTGAAAGCGGACATTTAATCCTCTTACACCACACCCACTGGCCCTTCACAGGCACACACATCTAAAGGCGTTTCTCTTCCCCACCCTCCCCAATCACAATTCCTGGCGAAGGCAACATTCAGGATTTACTGCAGACTGTCTACACAAATATTATCCAAAGCAGAGCCACGTGGTATATTATGACGATATCCCCTTTCATATTTGTCTCTTTGTGTTTGTTTATGGAGATACCACCGATTCATTCTCCACCAGCAGACTACGCTCCGTATGACTGAACGTAACAGGTAATATATCTGTTCCATTTTTCTCCTGGAGCCCTCCACGTGTTCCAGAACAAATGAATTCCAGATATCTTTGTACTGCTACTATCCTAGAGCATCCCTTCACCTCCAAACTGGCAGTTCCTTTTGATCCACTCTTGTGCTGGATCTTGTTTCCTGGATCTTTTTCGTTTCCCTCCGTCACCGTGGTGGAGCACGTCCTCGAGTAGAGGCGATCTAACACAGTGGACTTCGGATTACCCAGGTTCAAGTCCTCACTCCACCACTTCCTAGCTGTGGAACCCTGGGAACTAACTTCTCCATGGCTCAGTTTCTCTACTTGGAAAACAGAGAAATTGTACCATCAACCTCATATTGTTGCTCTAAAGTGCTAAAGTGAGGCACACAGTGAGCACTATGTAAATGTTAGCTATAATAATGATTCCAGAGAAGGATATGTGAGAGGTCACAGTCTGAAGACATTTTGAGACTCGTCTAAAAATATCTTTAGCCTATATTCACACTTAACGGATAGTTCAGAGAAGAATGTTAACTGAGTTGAAAATTATTTTCCTTGCTATGACACAGGTACTCTTCCACTGTCTCCCAGCTTCCAGAACTGTTAATGAGAAGTACGATGGCATCTGAATTCCTGAGTCCCTGTAAATGACCTATTTCTTTTCTCCCAAAGCATT